GCAGTTTATCATTAAATAATATATACCTGTATCAATATGCCTATGGTAAAGTTTCTCATCATCATGCTTGTATAAATAAATCAACTTGTATAAATAAGGTGAAGTCAGTACATTCATTAAAACCTTTTGTTTATTTGATAACGTAAGGTATGAAGGCCTAAATAATGGTGGTTACTAGATAAAAGGAGACTTGCTGTACGTGTGGCCCCTGATATCACCAAAGGGGTGCAATTTATATTTAGGATATGTACTGCTACAAAAGACTGTCCAGACCATGGGCATGCTACAGGAGATGGTCAGAGTCTGTACATTCTAAAGGAGTGGAAGGACACTAAAGCTGGCCATACACTATGAGAATAAGTCAAACTGAAAATTTGCAGCTAAACAGCAGTTGCACCCAATCAGATGCCTGCAGCAACTGTCGGAGTGCCATAGGCTATCAAGGTCCTACCTTTCCTCAGGGCTTGTGCTGCTCCATGTGCTGGCATCCATCTTAGGTCTGCAAAGCATTGTGGGATTCTTTATGCTTTCAGCCCTCTGCGGCTCCTCCCAGGAGGTGGCGGTTATCACATTTAAGTCTGCTGTTTGTAGCTGTCCATTGCATTCGTGTCCTGTCTGTTGCACAGCAGCAAGCTCCTGTTCAGTTAACTCTTTGCTCTCCTGGATACCGACTCGGCTTTGGCTAAGACTCCTCCTGGCTTCTGACCCCGGCTCTGGCGACCATTCTTCCTGGCTCCTGATCCCGGCTTTGGCGATCATCCTTCCTGGCTTCTGACGCCGGCTCTGGTGACCATTCTTCCTGGTTTCTGACCCCGGGTCTGCGACCATTCTTCCTGGCTTCTGACGCCGGCTCTGGCGACCATTCTTCCTGGCTTCTGACCCCGGCTTTGGCTACGATTCCCGCTGGTTCTCTACTTGATTATCCTGGAAGACAACCTCGGCAGGAGAACTTCTGTCCTACCAAGTCATCCGCTGTTGCTGTCAGACTTGCATAGACTCTTGCCTTGTTTCTGTGTAAATAAACCTACCTTTAATTGCACCTCCTTGTGTGTCTGGCTCCTCGCTCCCTGACATAGGCACAGTGGGAGATTCATTTATCGACGATGTATATCGTGGGTGGAGGAATATGTTTTTATTTTTTAAATCTAACAGTGTATGGTCAGCTTAATTACTTGCGTAGGAGACAGTGACCAGTGGCCATTACAACCCCTTTACACATGAATGCTGCCTTCAACCCTCATAAAAAGATTCATTATAAATATCAGAGAAAAAAAGTATATAAAAGCAGAAAAGGAAATCACATGAAAGTAAGACTTTGCAAAATATATAAAGCAACCCATTTCACTAATAAATGTCAGTGTAATAAATGTCTTTCCTTCAACTATTTGAGTTCTAGTTGTGGTGCTGTGGGCACTGTGGAAATGTGCAGCAGTTCTGGCAGTGCAGGTATTGTTATACATCCTTTCTCATAGTGTACAGTATATATGGTGATGCTACAGAGAGCACTTTCTCTAGTCTTTGCATTAGCACAAGAGCCAGCACCAGGTGACCACACATTGTTCCCAACTCTCTTTCATTTGGAGGGACTTTGCCTCTCCTACAATCAAAACCTTCTGCCCCTCTCTCCTTTCCGCTGTCCCTCTTTTTTGGACTGATTCATAGACCTTTAAAAAAAATGCACATGTTAGTTTGATCACACATTTTCAGCATGTTAAAATGGACCTTGCATCAAAATGTAAAGTTCAGTTCGTAGTTAGACCCCCATCACTCAAAAATTAGGAAGTAGGAAAAAGTCATACTGTGTAGAAGTGTCTTCTCATAAGATTTGGATCATTAGCATTGTGAGGGTACCATCAAAAAATCTCCAAAATAACCCTTGGCTAGGCACCATGGGCTGAAGCTGGTGTGGAAGCAATATTTTCTCTTTAATATACTCCTAAACTGTTTTTGTTTTAAGTTGGGTTTTTTACATGAGGGTACTATTGGTCGAACTGCTATGCAAACTGTGATCCACTTTAATTCTTCTTGACCCAAGTAAAGGAGATGCATGCCAGGAGTGTGTCTTTTGCTTACATACTTGGTAAAAGGTGTCCCTCATTCTCTTCTCAGAAAACTGGAAGATATGGTTAACAGGCTTTCCCTACATCATTGGTCACATAAATCAGAGCGGCAGGGGAAATCCAAAAATGTTTATCGCCATACTGTTCAAGAATGAACTAGCTGCTGGGTCCTGAGGGCCAAAAAATTAGTACCAAGGTGTTGCATATGCTTTTCGAGTTGATGAATGTTTGATTGTAACATTTTCCTAAAATTGTTAACATCCTAGACAATTGTCTAGTCATTTCACTTCACTACATAACTAAAGATTTTTTGTACTTACAAATAAAATAATTATTTATATAACGCAAAAACTCTTTCACCCTGCTTTAACAGTGGAAATCCATACAATTTTTTTCTTAGCTTGAGCTGTTTGAGTTTTGGAAAGCTTGGTGAAGGAGTGAAATGTTTGTCAGGCTTTAGTTGTCATTTGTATGATTTTTCATCTTCTGATTTGACAATGGGAAAATTGGTAACTATTAATATTTCATAGCAGATTTTTGCTAACTGAGTCCCTATTGGAAAGTCATTCACTTCCTGACAAGTTCATCCAGTGCCCAGGGTGAAGATGCCAAACTGGTGAAGACAGAGACAGGAAAAAAATCACATTTATTTAGTAGAATGAGGATGGACTGGAACATCTTTTATGCTTTCTTTTTCTCTCTGCCTTTCTACGGTAGTGAAACCTGCACCCTCTTATTTTTGTCCTAGTGTCACCAGGACAGGAAGGGAGAAACATCTTCCCAAGGAGAACACAGAAAATCATGAACATTTAACAAAGGTTCTGACAAGTTTTACTGGATTTGTGGTGTGGTGGAAAGTAATGACTCCAAGTGGGCACTAATGGATTCATGTTTATTAAATGAACAGTGATTCCACGCTGCACTCTTTTTATACTAAAGTAAAAACCTTCTGATACCAAAATCACCAAAAGCAAATCACATAAACGTAATCAAATCAAACGTAACCTAAATATCGTCAGTGAACAAACTAACAAAAGTCCCCATAACTTGTATAGTATAAAGTATATAAAAATATGTTATTTTTACCTTTTTTTATTTGTTACATATTTTATTACTTTTTTTTCTACAAAAAAGAAAACAACATTATATCAAACAGTTCAAAAATACAAGTTTTACATACATTTGCCTAATCCCTTTCCCTCCACCTCTGGACTCTCCCTTGTGTTCCACGTCACCTATCCTAATTCTTGTTACATCTACAGTCTTTCTTACCATCGCTAATAGTGGTTCAAGGGATATTAAAAATAACAAAAGGGAAAGAGGACATCCCTGTCTTGTACCATTCTTCATTTTAAAAAAACTGTAATAGGGACCCTTTGACCGTTACAGCTGCTGACGGGCCTCTATATAGCCCTTTTATCCACTTTAACATTTTGAGCCCTAGGCCTAATGCCTTTAACGTATCTATGATAAATCCCCAGTCTACCCTGTCAAAAGCTTTTTCAGCATCAGTCGACAGGATTACCATCGGCAACTTCTCCCTCCTTGTTTTTTGCAGAAGGAGCAGTGATCTCAGACCATTGTCCCTCCCTTCTCTGCAAGGAATGAATCCCACTTGATCTAAGTGTATCCACTCCGCTTTCAGCTCTTTCATCTTAGTTGCTAGTACTTTAGTGTATAGTGTTGTGTCTGTGTTTAATAATGATAACAGTCTATAGCTGGCGCACTGTGATCCATCCTTCACTTCTTTAGGTATAATTGCTATATATGCTTGCAGTTATATATGCTTGCAGCAATTTTTCTTTCATTTTCAACCTCTCTCCTAGCGCATTCATATATGTACATATATTGTGGACCAATAATTATTTACATTTCTTATAATATCCCACAGTATATCCATCAGGTCCGGGACTCTTTCTTGCAGACATACTCTTCAATGCTATAATAATTTCCTCCTGGGAGATAGTTCTTTCTAAAGTTAATAACTTTGCTTCTGTCAATCTCGATAAGCTGGCCTCCTTTAAATATGTCTGCCTTTTTTCCTTCTTTTCTTCCTCTGTTTCTTTCTGTTTCTTAGAATTTACTCCATACAACCTGCTGTAATATTTTTGAAACGTGTTAACAATATCAGTGGTGGAATGCACCATTTCTCCTTTTATATCTTTAATTTTTTTCTATAAAATTTTTTGATTCCTTTTCCCTTAACCTTTTCATTAAATATTTTCCTGGTGTATTCCCCCACTGATATCTTTCTTTTGAAACCCTATTAAAAATTCTCCTTGTTTGCTGTTCCATAAGATCTTCTAGCTCTTCTATTTTTAGCTTTAATAAATCTGTTTTTTATGGAAAACACTATGACGTTTTTAAAAACAAGCTTCAGTCTTTGAAATTGGGCAATGCATATATAATCGGGAGAAGGTGATACAGGACACATCAAAGTAATTCCCCTTAAAGGGACAAGAGCAATCGGACCGAAGTAATAGTAGGTCATATATCTGAGGTGAGTGGCTTTATGGTGGTGGAGGCCATATTTACATGGTGATTTTTATAAAGCACAGAAGAGTGTGAAAATATTCACCAATTTTAAGGGGATACTCTATTATATAATATATCTTTTTTTGTGGATTGTGATAAATTTTTCTCTTCCTAAGAGACATTATATTTATATATGTTTATATACTTTGCACACAGGTCTTATATTCACACAAGGGACATTTATTGGTTTATTCACTGAAGATATTTATATGATTTGGTTATATTATGTGACTTGGTTTTGGTGATTTTGGATATCAGAAGGTTTTTCATTTAGTATAAAAAGTAGAGTACAGCGTGGAATCGCTGATGATTGAATATACACTATATTGCCAAAAGTATTGGGACACACCTCAAAATCATTGGTTCCAATCACCTCCGTGGCCACAGGTGTAAAAAATCAAGCACCTAAGCATGCAGACTGCTTCTACAAATATTTGTGAAACAATGGGTTACTCTCAGGAGCTCTGTGAATTCAAGCATGGTACCGTGATAGGTTGCCACCTGTGCAATAAGTCCATCCATGAAATTTCCTTGCTACTTAATAGTCCACGGTCAACTGCTAGTGGTATTTTAACAAAATGGAAGCAACTAGGAGCAACAGCAACTCAGTCACGTAAAATGATAGAACGGGGTCAGTGCATGCTGAAGCACACAGTGCGCAGAAGTTGCCAAGTGTCTGCAGAGTCAATAGCTAAAGACCTCTAAACTTTATTTTGCCTTCAGATTAGCACAACAATAGTGCATAGAGAGCTTCATAGAATGAGTTTCCATGTCTGAGCAGCTGCATCCAAGCCTTATATCACCAAGTACAATGCAAAGCGTCGGATGCAGGGGTGTAAAGCAGGCCGCCACTGGACTGTGGGGCAGTGGAGACATGTTCTCTGGAGTGACAAATCACACTTCCCTGTCTGGCAATCAGATGGACATGTCTGGGTTTGGCGGGTGCCAGGAGAACGGTACTTGCCTGACTGCATTGTGCCAAGTGTAAAGTTTGGTGGAGAGGGGATTATGGTGTGGGGTTGTTTTTCAGGGGTTGGGGTTGGGCTTGGCCCTTAGTCCTAGTGAGAGGAACTCTTAAGGCATTTATATATATATATATATATATATATATATATATATATATATATACACAGTATCTCACAGAAGTGAGTACACCCCTCACATTTTTGTAAATGTTTTATTTTATCTTTTCATCTGACAACACTGAAGAAATTACACTTTTTTTACAATGTAAAGTAGTAAGTGTACAGCTTGTATAACAGTGTAAATTTGCTGTTCCCTCAAAATAACTCAAGTGTGTCTTGCCTACAGTCAAGCATGGTGGTGGGAGTGTCATGGTCTGGGGCTGCATGAGTGCTGCCAGCACTGGGGAGCTACAGTGCATTGAGGGAACCATGAATGCCAACATGTACTGTGACATACTGAAGCAGAGCATGATCCGCTCCCTTCAGAGACTGGGTCACAGGGCAGCTTTCCAAAATGATAACGACCCCAAACACACCTCCAAGACGATCACTGCCTTGCTAAAAAAGCTGAGCGTAAAGGCAATGGACTGGCCAAGCATGTCTCCAGACCTAAACCTTATTAAGCATCTATGGGGCATCCTCAAATGGAAGGTGGAAGAGCGCAAGGTCTCTAACAACCACCAGCTCCGTGATGTCATCATGGAGGAGTGGAAGAGGACTCCAGTGGCAACCTGTGAAGCTCTGATGAACTCCATGCCCAAGAGGGTTAAGGCAGTGCTGGAAAATAATGGTGGACACACACAATATTGACACTTTAGGCCCAATTTGGACATTTTCACTTAGGGGTGTACTCACTTTTGTTGCCAGTGGTTTAGACATTAATGGCTGTGTTTTGAGTTATTTTGAGGGGACAGCAAATTTACACTGTTATACAAGCTGTACGCTCACTACTTTACATTGTAGCACAGTGTCATTTCTTCAGTGTTGTCACATGATATATATATATTATTTATGTATTTATTTTAAGTCTTTGTTTCATCTCTTAGCAGTCAGGTAAAGGTTAAAAACTGTGTATATATTGTATATATATAATATTTCATATTTACACCTTTCAGTTCAGCAGGTGACCAACAGCAATTTAGTACTCTAGGATTTTGAATAGCTGGTTTAATGCTGTGCTAATACAGACCTGAATAGCAGCTACATGCACACAGCTATGTAAGTCAACTGAATTACTTGGAAAAGGAACATGCCACCCCCTTACTCTGTAGTGACAGTGCCGCTTTGATGATCAGTTCGCAGAAGTACAGAGCCAGTACTAAGCTTTCTTATTAGGAACCCCACCATACACTGGGTATACTGAATATAGAAGCACCCTGACTGTGCAATATGCTTATTTGCTAAATGTAAAATATTGGTTTATTATCTTAAAAATAGAGTGTTTCCCAAAAAAAACATATATTTTTTTAAAGAAATTATCAAGGTCTAGAGAAATATTGCAATATAAATGAAAAAGTTTAGGAGCTCTGTGTTTCACAGCTGTCATTTCAGAAGCCACAAACACTGTATTATATTTCATTAAAGATCAAATATTAACTTTTAGAACTGAGCTGCATAGAAGAAGCTTTCTATCACCCTTTCCCTTCCCGAAAGATTCAAAACTGTATGGTTTTTTTTTACTATGATATGTTGCTATTAGCTAGCTGTGTAGTAAATTGGCCTTTTAATAAATGAATTGCAACAAATAATATCCCTAGAGAATACTTTCCCACAGTTTATTTAATAAACCTATGTATTTTAAAGAAACTATTCTGTTTTCTTTGCATTAAAAAAATGTGTCTTGTAAAAACTTGCCATTGCAGTGAACCGTTTAATTGCTGAGTGTATTGACACTACGGAATGGAAAAACTCCTGGTGGATTTGCAGTTCACTAGGAAATCACTCAACAAATCATCTTTTCAGTAAAACTAGTTTAAAATGTTCTTAATTTCTTTTTAAATATGACTTTATATGCTGTGAAACATTTATATGATCAGTGGTGTTAATTAAAGCTGAACTCCAGTGAGAGAAGAAGAACACTGATTAATGTTGGTATGTATTCATTAAAACTAAAATGAAGGCACAGAAATAGATATGTAACCAGATGGTCATTCTACCAACTTCCTTTTTATATCCTCTTCTCTCTTTTCTGACACAGCAGTTACATGATGTCTCTAAATATGGCTGTTCAATTCAATAGGCACCATATTTGGACCAAGTGCTCTCAGTAATTCATTAAGACCTGATCAGATGCATCTCCTCCCCTTCTCTTCAAAACAACTCTTTGCAAGGACAAGTGTACAAGGGGCGGACTGACCATTTGGAAACTCGGGCACTGCCCGAGGGCCCGGGGTCAGTAGGGGGCCCCATGAGCTGCCCCTGGTACCTTTTTCATAGGCTTTTTTGAGTTTGGGCAATGACACAGGGGCCCCATGATCCCCTATTGCCCGGGGGGCCCCATGAGTTGTCAGTCCGCCCCTGGCTGTGTCTGTTGTAAAATTAGAGGAAAGGGGCGGATACAAGACCAGTTACTCTACAAACGGAAGGACAGATGCAGTGACAGGTCTTTATTACAGTAAAGGCCTGCGCAGAGCCAAAGTGCAGAAGATGCTTCATGCCAAATTACTTCATCTGAATGAAATATACAAAGAACACCAAGGATCAAATAGCAATATATACAGTGCATGCTTCTTGTATTTAGACATTTCCTGTTTTATCTTGATTTTAGTTTAGTTTTAAAGCATTTTCAAACAAAAATCAGTCCAAGACAAAAATCATAATATATGGGGGCACAGGGCTATAAAACAATAAAACATTGTTAGACTTGAGTTTTTAAACTGTAAATTCTTTTTTTTGATACAAGAGTTTTTGATTTTGTTTTGACATCAACATCTTGTAATATTCTGAACAACAGCATAGTACAATAGAAGAAGGCCAAGACTAGTGCTGAATGGTAAGACGCTGACATGAGGAAAGATCAGAAAAATGACTTCATCAGTTTGCTGCTGCTTCATTGTCTAATTATGAACTGGAAATGTGTCTTAACTCAGTATTCCTTACCAAGGGGCACTGGTAAGGAATACTGATCTGGCTGTGCTGTAAACAATGGTCTGGCTGTGCTGTAAACAAATGTTCTATTCGCTGTATCATTAAAAAAAAGAGTCTGAAGTCATGACCTGAAAATAAAATAAAAGTATCTTTTTTTTATTGAAAATGCTCTAAAAAGTTATAAATTGTGTATGCATGCATACTTGCAAATCTGTGTTAGCTTTTTCATTATCCATAGTCCATCCTGCCTAGTCCAGGAGAGTGATGTAATTATTCTGTCATAGGAAGCTCTCTGTAGGAACTAATATTATTGTTTGCCAGGAATCGCAATGTAATAGAACAGTTCTATCCCTTACTAATTCCCTCCCCCCCTTTCTCCTGCTCTTTTATAGGCTACTTTTTTTGTTATAAAATTTCCAGCTAAAAACAAATGAGTAGGGAGACCATGGGGCAATACTTGCTCTGCGCAGTAATGCTATCCGCCCCTTGTGCAAAGATAGATACATAATGACATACTAAGAAGGAAGCGTAGAAATCCTATGACCTCTTTTCTGTTCAGATGGCAAAGATGAAATCAAGAGGTCACGTAGAATCATAGGTCCTACACTGTGCCTACTGGAAAAACCCCAAAACACAGATGGGGGGATTCAATAAAGCACTGCTGTTAGTTTTCTGGTGCTTTGGCCCTTTAAAATGGCCTGCACCAGATTAAAAAATACCATCAATTTTGGAAATTTGATGAACATGGGTGGCAGATTTAGGTAGTTATTATTTGTATTATTATTATACCATATTAAAAAAGTATTACCTCCAGTTCATACATAATGAAAGATTTACTCTGTCTTGGCTTACAGAGACAGGCAGAGCACTTGTACCTGTACGCAGTGTAGCACAGCAACATATTTGCTGTTGTTGCCCTTTCCCTGTAAGGGGTTGTTACAGACACCATCAGCTTCACAGCTAGCAACCAGTGATGATGCAGTGGGTGAAGCCTGAACGATCCGCCCACTGCCTGCTGTCAATCACAAGGGGTGCAGACCTGATGGGGAACTAGTGTTTGTGACTCCCCCTGGTACAAAACTCTCCCTGCTGTTTGACAGGTGCAGCAGCAGAGAGGAAGCGCAGTTGCACTTTCACTAAACATTCATAAGTAGTGAATCAATCAGAGTCATTTGAAACACCTGCACTTGGAAGATTTATGTGCAATGATTATTTGGGGAATTCCAAATTTACTGTTTTATACAGTATACACAGGGGTTGGACAAAATTATGAAACACCATGTAAAAGAACAAATCTGTTACCTAATATGGTGTTGGACTGCCTTTGGCATCCAAGACAGCCTGAATTCTTCTGAGAATGGACAAAATTTAAGTTTTGGATGGTGGGTAATGGAATCTGATACCACTCATGTAAAAATCGTTCCAGTTCTCACAGAGATGCTGGTGGTGGAAAATGGGCCCGAACCTTGTTCCCCAAAATTGACCATAGTGGCTCTGTGATATTGAGGTCCAGCAACTGTGGCGCCCAGGGAAGGTGTGAGACTTTGTCTGCATGCTCATCAAACCATGATTTCACAATGCCAGTTGTGTGAATTAGAGCATTATCATCTTGGTAAATGGCGCTATCTTCAGGAAACAACATCTGCACCATGGGGTGTACATGGCTTACCAAAATTTGTACATAGTAGCTGGCAGTGACTGTACCTTTCAAGGTGATGATGAGGCCTGCAGATTATTAAGATATGGCTGCCCAAACCATGCTTTACTGTTGGCACAAGACAGCCATGATTGTAAGCTTGGAAGGTGTTTGCCATGCATAAACATGTGGAACCAATTCCCTGTATGGCTCTCTGAAGCAGCAGAAAGCCAGCAGGGGGGAGAGAAAAAACAGCTTTTCGCTGCTGCAGAGAGGACCATTCAGGGTATCGGTTCTAGTAATTGTCCCCCCCACCACCACCATGCCAAATACCCCCCCTGCCACATCCAATTCACCCAGCTGCTTGAGGCTGCCCTGCTGGCCTGGGTCTTGTACAGGAGGACTGGTGGTACCCCCTTATCCATGGCCCTGCCTGTATGTGCCCTATTGCACGTATGCAATGATGCCCTATTTTTAAATTGCAATATAAAACAGAACTCCAGGGAAAAGGTATTAAAAGATGTTTAGTATGTCACTTGATGTATGTTTGTGAGTTATGTAATATTTACAATTTCATTAAGTGGAAATAGACTTAGAGCAGCTATGACAGCTGCAGCATCTAATACATGGAAGTCACAGCATTGTTTGTCCACCACTCTATCCCCTTGCCCATTCACAGAACTCTTTGTATTCTGTGAATGCTTCAAGGACAGTGCAGTTTCCATATATGAGAGCCGTAGCAATCCTGGCGCAGTGCAGGAAGCATAGCAAGAGTTATACTTCCTGGCATGAATGAAAGTGTAAATGTTACAGTAATCACAAACGTACTTAAGGTGACACCTCTTAACATTTAACTTATATTTACACTGCGGATTAAACAAAGTCATGGAGTTCTACTTTACAAATGTTTGCATTAAACAAAGTTAATAAACTGTATCTTAATAATTATTATCCATTCTCTTTTTCCAGCAAGACAATCCCATCCGTCCCTTTATGTGGATACAGACTTAAATATTTGAAGGACATATACTTTATATGCATTAGGTATTCTTGAAAAAGCTCTAGCAATGCACCATAATGAAAAACCATGGTGACACAGTGAATGCAAATATCCCAAACTGCCTTGTTAATCTAAAGGAGAACACCTCAACCCTTGTCTGGTGTCATGTAGAATATGTTTGAATGCCATTTATAGCCACTGTTTATCAATATATTACTATATAGATATGAATAATTAAATGGAGGCAACATTCTCTTGCTAAAATAACCAGATATAACCCATAAAGTAGCTGAGAGGTTAAGATCTGGCAAAAAGAAAAAAGCTTTTTTTTTTTTTAAGTTTAAGAAATAAAATAAAATAAAATTATTCATATATCCATGACAAGCTAAGAAAAATGGTGTATATTTATTATGTAGACTATTAGAGCACTTAGCCCTTTTGACTTAAGCCTTCAAAGCACTGTAAATACTGCCTTGAATGTAATCTAAGCCGAGCTGATTGGTGTCCAAAAAAACAAAAGCCTGTCACTTCCAGCCCATTAGAAATATGAGGCATTCTGAAATGATCTGGCTTTCCCCTTCTGGACTCTGCCTATGCAGCGAAAAGGAAAATTCCAGAATAATTGTATCACCTGATATTCTTATCTGTCTTTCTAATTACCATATACTGCTCTTAGAATCTACTTGGAATAGGGAAAGAACAAGATAGGATTTGGAATGGCACATGTTGATGCTTTCCGAAATAAAGATGTTTCTTTATGTGCAGTGTTGTGTTTCATCAGATTTGATTCCTTATAGTGATATAGGGTGTGGCGTTAGTTCTGGTAACTCGCTGAGGTGCAAATATTTACTGCCTGTGTTCTTCTGATGTTGATGGTCCAAGTATCACACATGGGAGCCACACATTATAAGTTTCCTACACCGGATTGCACAAGGTTATCCAATTTTAATCTTTGGTGATGGATACCAGTATTCAGGGCTGGTTCAATTTTCTTCAAGAATCCAGAAATATATTACATGGTTAACAGCTTCTGGCCTAAGCAGGAAATAGTGGGGTTTATCTCACCAAAGGAGTAAGTAACTTGTGCTCACTTGAAATACTTGACAGATTTCAAGGAAATCACTAGGTTCACTAGAACATAATCAGAATTTTTAAGTGATCAAATGCCCATAGACTCTTTTAGGCTGTCCATAGATGTTAGAGGGCCATCGATGGTGCAAAACAATCCAACTACTCCCAGGGCAAGCTGTTATGCAGAAAAAAAGTTATATGTTGTGCTTAACAGGTCATGTTTGACAGCAGTGTAAATAAGGAGGGAAGAGCAATAGTGATCAGACAAGTGTTTTCTAAAAGCCTTATTAATTGTTCCCCACAAATGTTGAGTGGAAGCCATGTAGGGTTTTCATAGACATAAGAGCAGTATTGGCCATAGCAGATGACTGTCATCACATATCCATTATGTAGATTCAGTATAGAAGCCCCTGAATTGGCATTTGGATTACTGTTTTAGGTGCATTCAATGGAAATTTCTTTTAAAGCAAAGCCTAATGTGAATGGGGAACACATTAATGCGGTAGTTAGCATTGTGTTTTTAGCCAGGTACGGATTTATGGAAAGCAACCTAAGCCAAGGCCTAAGGCAGCACAAAGTGATAATCAGATGCTTGTTTCATTATTTGTTACATTTGTTTCTCATGTAATCCTTTAGCAATGAAATTATCAAGAATGAATACTTTATTACATGGAAATCACACTTGAGGGCATGTCACTAAAACCCATCTCAACCTACAACCTACTTGGCACGTGTGCCCTAGATCTTATTGAGTTTTATCCCACATTTCAGAAATATAACGGTACGCTGCAGTCTTTGCACTGACTGAGGTTTAGTATGGGAATGGTTTTATATGGTTGACTATAGGAATGTTGTTATGTATGGCTGTGGTAGGGAAATGGAAACTATAACAATATTTTAATGTTCTTTATGCACGATTTGCCACTACTTAACAAAAATTAAAGGAGACAATTCTTTGGTTAAAGCCCAACTCCATGTATTTTTATTTTTAAGTTTTTAATAGACTAATGAAAAGTGTATACTTCTGTCAAATGTTATTGCTGTCACTGAACCTATTAGATTTTACCTCACTTGTTCCATAGCCTCAGTACCTTACAGCCTGTGACAGCAGGAGAAGAAGTTAGGGGCATGGTTGTCACCAAGGCAGGAAGACAAAGACTGTAATAGTAACCTGACAGAGGTTCAATTCCTTTCTGATTTTACTGAAAATGATGTGTTTTCTTGTGACCTGTGTCCAAACTGGAGAGAATTTCCATCACTTCCTATTCCATCAGGAAATCTCCTCAATAGGCTCACAGACTAAAGTAAGAACCCAGCAGGGGATCTATTCTTACCCCACTCTGTCCAAAACAGAACAAAAACTCTGCTGGATTTGGTATATTTGAGCATGTTTTTGCACTAATTTGTACTTGTCCTTTGGCACAAACGTTAATAAAAGCTTCCAGCTATAAAATTGACTTATTACCTGAGGAGGGTCTTTCAGTGTGTTGCTGAATGATAAGGTTGGACGTTGTCTATACACTGCAAATGCCCTTATGTACCAAAACGGCTGTCAAAAACAGAATCTAGATCCTTAGAAGAAATGTACAATGGTTCTTCAGGCACAAAAAACTGCCAAAACTTTGCCAACTTCTTGTAATGAGTTTGTAAAAAAACTAATGATCACTTTGTGAAATGCATATTAGGGAATATATTGCTATGACTGTGGAGGTTGTGAGACCTAGACTTTTAGAGTTCTATCAATAAAACCGCTTTGTATTTATAAAAACTTTCAAGAGTATGTTAAAGGCTGCTCCTTGTAAAGATGCCATTGCCTGGCTTTGTCTGGATTAAATACATTTAATTTGCAGACCTAGAACAACTATGCCAAAAAAAATGAATTGCAAATTAAGTTGGAGCTTCTTATCTGTATATTGGTTCCAGGTCATGGAATTGGTGGGTTTGAGGCAAAGATTCAACATGAGCCAAGCAACTATTATGTCCGTAGAAAGAGATCACCAGTGATTGACTACATGTTTTTCTCATGATTGATCATATTATAAATAATGCAAAGAGTTACACTGTGGGTCTGACCAGGGGTGGACTGACCATTTGGAAACTCGGGCACCGCCCGAGGGCCCGGGATCAGTAGGGGGCCCCATGAGATGCCACTGGTACCTTTTTCATAGGCTTTTTTGAGTTTGGGCAAGGACACAGGGGCCCCATGATCCCCTATTGCCCGGGGGCCCCATGAGTTGCCAGTCCGCCCCTGGGTCTGATTTACTAAAATGAGATATGAGGTAAAGTGTCGGTATTCATTCAAGTGAAGAAGTTCAATTTGTTCACATTCTCTCTGCTCAGGAAGAAAAAGTTGATATGAACACAGTTTCACTTTACAGTACAACATATCAGGTCAATCTTTCATGATTGATATGAAATTTAAACTAGGACAAAAAGGAAATAATTGTATACATCTCTTATAAAAAGCATTTGGACAACCCCATTTCCCAGGAAAAATATTTTGTCTGCAAGCCACAAAGGGCATTAATCTAATCACATGGAAAAGCAAGCTCTCTTATATTTCATCTGCACACTGTGGGGAATTTACTAAGACTGGAGCAACCAGCTGTGCATAGAACCCAGTCAGCTCCTACCGTTCATTTTCAAAGCTTAACTGAACAAATTGAAGCTGGAAGATCATTGGTTACTATGCACTGGTTCTCTGGATTCTGTCTGCTTCAGCTTTAGTAAATTCTACCTGTAATTGGGTATTCAAAGTGAAAACTACACAATGAAAAAAGCTATAATCAAAGTGAAAAGCTACAATCTACTGAGTGCAGTTTCTCAACTCCTTTAGAAAAATACGACCTCAATGGGATATGTGTTTGTTGAATCTGTGGTGCAACTGGATTATTTTTTAAAGTGTAATACACCCTAACCAGCACCATGTTAATCACTTATCTGGAATGTTCAGCAGAAGGAAAGCAGTGTTAGTGTTGGCTCTATGTAACTTCTGAGGATATGTATTTATGAAATGTATTTTACAATAACTGACTATTTGGAATGAACACCCATTTGCTTGGCCACAGTGAAATTATTTGCATACTGGACCTCTCTCCCAACTATACCTTCATTGTGTCAAGCAATGCAAGGTTGATGGTTGATCTGTCAGGGTATATATTGTTCAGTATATAATGTTCAATTAGACATCTAATTTTACTTTTAATTCTATATTTTATCAAATTTAGATATCACAATGAGAAATGTAAAAATTTCCCAAACCTAATTATTTACCATAGCCAGCCTGGAGTATGTGGCAGGATACTATATAGGTAATCATCAATTGGGAAGAACTACCCAAATACTGGAGAGCAACATATGGCTGTTTACTGACAAGTATATATAAACAAGATGTTAACATCAATTCAGATACCCTTAAACTCTCTACAAGCTGTCATTTTGGCCAGTTGTTAGATATTGAAGGTAGAAAATTGAATTGTCAATTTAAATAAGAAAAAATCCTAGCATAAATTAACTAATTATTGTGATTTTACTTGAACTTTGTGCACATGTTTACATTGGGGTTGACTTATTGAAAAAAGTAGAGATATTGAATTTAACAAACTGAGGTGTTCATTTATGAACCAGCGGTAATAGATCGCTGCTCAGTTCTCCTTCATTCTCGAAGAACAAAGTTCTCCTGTGAATGCAGTTTATGAAGCAGTTCTCCAAACGAAGGGAGAACGGTCTCCAAATGCTGGAGAACGGTCTACAAACTCTGGAAAACGGCTGATTTTACTATAATCTCGCGAGATTACAGTAAAAGATCAGTTTACTAAACAGAGGTAAATTATCTCTGCTTAGTTTTCGGTCCCTCTGATTCTCCAGCTCTGGGCTGGAGAATCTGGAGGGAGAACACAGATCTCCAGTGAAGGGCTGATATGATCTCCTGAGTGTCATAAACTGTGAATGACCAGAGAATAGCTGAGATCCGTTGAATCGCAGCTATTCTCTGTGTCATAAATGGACACCTGAATGTTCACTTAGCTGAGTGAATACCCTAAAGTTATGTTGACTTTGAAATTTGTGTGGGAAAATGTTAAAAAAAGAAACAAAAAGACTTTCGGTTTGCACTTGATGGGATGATTGAAGTGAGCATATCTACACTTCATTCACTGACCAAGAGACTTTTTCTACTCCTTTAGTAAATAAATCGCACTGAATGGTTATTCCTGCCCATGTATGGGCTTAATCGATCCTATATCCCTAGTGCAGGGGCGGACTGACCATTGGGGAACTCAGGCACTGCCCGAGGGCCCGTGGTCAGTAGGGGGCCCCATGAGATGTCCCTGGTACTTTTCATAGGCTTTTTTGGGTGTAGTTTGAGTGTGGGCAAGGACACAGGGGCCCTATGATCTCCTATTGCCCGGGGGCCCCATGAGTCGTCAGTCCGCCCCTGCCCTAGTGCATTAGGCAATTCATCAAATCATCTATGTAGCTGACAATAAGGTGAATTTTACACCTTTCGCCCATACTATTAGATTTTTTTTTTTTCTTTCAAAATAAAATGTACTAGTTTAAAAAAAAAATACTGCATAAAAATGGCAATGTTATAATTTAACAAATACACAAAATGCTCTAATATGCCATAATTACCTTCAGTCACCTATAGTAGTGCAATGGTGCAATATTTAATTCTGAATCAAAAACATTTTTTTCCATGTATTGATACATATCATATAACCATGAAAATAAATACATTTGCCACTGTGTTTTATTACTTATATATATATTTATATATTTGTTTAATATTCAATTACTTTACAATTCACATTTGCAGATCACATTTTTTACATTTAAATATTATTTGTACAAAAAAGAAGAAACATGCAAATGTGTATTCTGTACATTGTATCAAAAGTTTATGGACCGGAGTAGCTAAACCAGTAGCTACTGTCTCTTTTTGGCAGAATGTCTACTGGCTGGCTCTTTGTATTGTGGTTGAAGGCATCTTCAGGATTGATTCCACAGAAAACGGTAAGGGCTCACTGACAGAAAGTTTTGTTCCTGGTTCTTTGCCCAAGATAAACTCCTTGTTGTAACTATCAACAGTTAATTTGTACTTCTGGTTTTCCTTGGACGTGCATTCTCTGAATTTCTTTGCAGGCTCTTCATAGGGGTCTTTGACACTCTGTGTTTTAAGCTCTGACAATGACTTCTCAAGATGTGCCTGTTGAAATAATGAGTGTAAGGGGCTATACTTTAAAGACAGAGGCTGCTTTGCTGTTTCCTTACTGATCTTGTTCAGGAGACCGTCCTGGGGAGACAAAGTGTCTTTGCTGGGTAACTGTGAGAAGTTCCTTTTAGGAGGAGAAAAGGCAGATCTTTCTCCAACATCTTGGGACAGGTTGGGTTGATGAAGCATTTGGGTCTCTAATTTAGGAGGTACCAGATCATGTTCTGTAGGTTGGCACTCAATCATGAGGTTGTTTTTGGAGTCCCAGTTTGAGCCATTTTTCAGTGCCTGCATGGCTGTGGCATTTAACAGGTACTGCTGGTAAAGAAGAGCATCAGTGATAGGGGCTCCAGTTTTTGGCCACACCAAGAACCTGGAGGGGATGGGGTATTGTCTATAGGTGGTTGCCACGCTGACATTGGAAGAAATCAGCTCCACATTCCCTGCCCCTGAATACTGCATTGTGAGGTCTAGGCAAGTGGGCACAAAGTTGCAGAACTCTTTGTTAGGGGCATCAGCCTGTGAGCTCCCATAGGCAGCTTTGTAGGAGTTGTACTCTGCAGCATGTACCATGCGGCTGGGCAAAAACAGGTTGGCACCCTGAGTGGCTTCTAGCATCTCTCTTTCCTTGTACTCCCTTTCCAGCATAATATTCTCCAGCTCCTTATCAGCAAAGGCTCGTCTCTTCCTCATCCTGTCACTCACAGGGGCTGGCAGGGGAGAACTGGGCCCCATGTAAGAATCTGCTGGCAAGGGTCGATAACCTAAAAATCACAAGTTATTTATTAGGTGGGTTGTATCCATGCCAAGGGAAAGCAGTTTTCATAACTTTTCAAACAAATGATTTACAGAGCAGAGCTCCAAGTGAATACTTTCCAGCCAGCATAGAAAAAGCTCGTTCTCTCTGCTCATCGCTGTTGATTAAATATTTTTTTACTGTTGTAAATTATTTCTCTTAAGTAATGTTTGGCAAATGGCTAATAACATTTATTTTTTAGCAAGTTATTACAACATTATCATTATAGTATATGATATAATTCTGCAACAGCCAGATCTCCCACACATCATCTGCAGGTTAGCCACGTTCCAATAAAAAATAGCTGTGAGGTTTAATACATTTAAAGGAGAAGCTACATACATCATTTCTGAATAAAAGAGAACTTATTACCTTACGAACACAGACATGCAAAAATGCATTAATTAGTAAATAATGCTCCTGTTTTTCTCTGTCTGTTACAGTATAATAACACATCCACCCTGGGTGCAAACATGACCTGTGAAACAATTTTTTTCAGGCAGCTCTTTAGTGCTGTGATCTTGTATCACATTTTGCTGATTCACAAAAAAAATATATTTTGGAACTAAACAGCAGACAGCTACCAATCACCTGGTGGGAGGTTAGCAAGCAACATCATACGTAATTGATTGTACACAAGGCTCCCAAGCCACTGGTGTGCAATGTTGGTAATATTCGTAATAATTGTACTGTGGTTTCATTTAGCGCAGTACTAAAATCTGTGTATAATGAAAGTACTAGGACTACCCACATGGAGTTTGTCTTTGACACCTGTCATGCAGTAACACCAAAAAGATGGCTATACCTAGAATTGATGACATGTATAATTCCTAGAGGCGAATCACAATGAATAGAAAGTTACAGATGAGAGGAAACTCGAACTAGGAGAAAAGAAAAAAAAGACAGACAGTTAAGAGCAAGAAAGCAAAATGTAAGCGGGAGAAAGGCACAGGGGAGGATATGTGCGCTGAGAGAAAGAAGCCGCAGTAATGACATATGTGTACTGAGACTGCTATCTAAGCACACATTATAAAACAATCCTTTTAATGCAGGGGTTAATTCACTGAACTGATACTTCTCAAAAGCACAGGATGGAGACACTTAAAAGATATTACTCTTTGTGATGTATACTGTGCATGTCCATCTTCATGCAAAACACTAATATATTTGTTTGTCAATCCAAGTGTTGAAATTGAAGCTTGCCTGACAGTGGTATTAGCAAGTAAAATACAATGCAAAACCACAGTGTCTAAACCCACAGATGTTAAACGTGACCATTGTGAAATGAGGCTTTGTGACAACAATCTAAACTATGTCAGTTTTTTATCAGCCACCAAAGTGAATCTGTCCATGGGAGGCTATATCATGCTGTTATAGCTCAGTCACTGCAAATATCATTTCACATTCAAATTCACTAAACCATTACCATGTAACAAGTAATGGAAACTCTGTGGGCTTTCCACATTTAATTTAGGCTTCTGAAGCTTTTTCAAAGAGCAGACTATCATCTGCATAAATGGTGCTTGTAGTTAGGCCTCTTGACACTTTCTGTGTCCAGACTCAACAGAGAACATTCCAATGCAGCATCAAAACTACATTTATTATACTGATTAATCCAGACATTGACAGGCATCTTGAACATATATTACTTTGTCCTAGTGTATTCTATTGCAGGTGACCCACTCATTAACTTAAATATGAGTACAAGGAAAGAGACAGAAAAAGAGTATAAGGCTATGTTTTATATGTTTGCGTATTTATTTCTAACAATATTTAGTGGTTTCAGAAATAAATCACACTCCAAAGTGCATTATCTATGATTGGGTCTGATGTACCAAAGAACTGCTCAATGTGCATTCAACCTCAGGAAAAGCTTACTCACATGAGCCCTAGAATTGCACCCAATTACCTTTCCTATACTGTATACAACACTACAGACAGAATATTCCATTCTTTACTGATTTTATGATAAAATGAAAGCATTTTACATTTACGTTTCATGCAATTTTAACATTGAACATTTTTTTATATATTGTACCTTATTTAGACTTAGAAGTTTGGTCTTTAGAATGAGTTAGAACCATGATAGCTGATTTACTGGTCATTTATCTATCTTTTTTCCTATTTAATATTTATATAATATCCTCACAATACTTTATGACATTCAAAATATGATACATTTGCTGTGGTAATAATAAATGCAATGGTAGAGAGTTTACATTTTGCTTCTCTGTTTTTCATCTTTAGATTTAGCAGAGAAGTAAGGGAACATTATATTGATAATCCACATTTATTGTTTATTTAATTTAACTATATTAAAAATGATTCAAAATGTAACATGACATGGAATATATCACCACCAATGTGTATGTATTACTCTTTATTATAGTTAATGAATGTACTCACTGTAAAAAAATAGAAAGTATAAGGGTTTACATTAAATATATTTACAAAAGACAATTTTAAATTGATATTGTATAAATGCTTTCCACTTATTCCTGTTTTAACATTTTTAGGCTTAAACTGAACTGTTATTTGCTTTACTCATTACTAATGATCATCCATGAAATTGTTCACTAAACATGGCTGTGTTTGCTTACCTCATTATACGTATATATAGAGAATGAATATGTGTGTGTCTGTATCTACAGTATATATATATATATATATATATATATATATATATATATATACATGGATAACTGTGTGCATTCCACTTCACCCATTAGTAATTTAGGCCCATTGTCTAACTCTATTACTTTTTTTAATGATGACTCCAGAGGAAACATAATGAATGCAACAAAAGTGTACTCTGCATAGCGGCAAAGTGAAGTGTACAAGCACCCAATGTACGGACTGATTATACCCCAAGCCTGATATTGAGCTAACACATGTGCATTCCCACGTTTAAGAGCTTAAAACGTGGGAGTAAAAGAGAGTACAGAAAGAATCATGGAAAAGGAAATTTCTATGGCTTCATTTTACTTTCTTATTTGTATGTGAAAAAAGGATGATGGGTGTAGTGTTACCTTCCAGTATGCTCTTCGCCAGCAAGCTGGGGGTTCTTATGTGTCTTTGATACACAGTTTTCCTTTCTGTTACAGTTGGTTTCCCTGTCAGGCCTTTCTTATCCTGCAAGAAAGCAAAGCATAATAATAAATATACAAAGTCACACTTCCACAGTACACAGATAGCAAGGCTCTACAAGCAGGGAAAAACATGAATTCCCTGTGTGTTGATAGAAACATGTTGTCTTGATCATCTCATTAAGGGATGCTAAATAGAGATTCTGTTGTAAATGTAAACCTGTCATCTGCTAAACAGGAAACAACCAGTGCTTCAACCTACCGCAAACACAATAAAAAGCGCAAGTGGATATTTATGAGTTTCAACACAAAATAGCCTCTGTCCATTTCACTGTTTAGATTGGAAACACAGAACATTTTTTTTTTTTTTTTGTCTTTGCTTATAAGTGCCTTTAGCTTTTCTGCTTTGGACTGGCTGAACAGGAAAGTGTTGGAAGCTTCTTGTATCGCACAAAGTGTCTTAACCATCTGTTGAACCTCACTGAGCTGAAGATGTGATGCCACAGTAGCTTAGTGCAAGTTCAGGCTTGGGATGCTGCTATGTAGGCTTAATGTCACTACAGGCATATAATGCCAGGATAACAAGCAGCTCTTATGGCAGTGATATATTGCCTGTGCTGGTGCATAGTGACAGACTTCCAGTATGATGATAGCTATCATTATTAGTGGGAACTGTTAGTAAGAATTAGCACTTCTCTCTTCTCATACTGAACTCACATAGTCCTGGTATTATAAAATAAACTGATTGTTCAGTGTAACAATATAATTACATGGAAGATATTATTATTATTGTTATTATTATTATCATTATCGTTGTTATTATTATTATTAGTAATATTGTTATTACTATTATCATTATCATTATTATTATTATTATTATTATATAATAATAATAATAATAAAATTAATAATACAATTTTATTATCATTCCAATTTTTTTTTTACAATTACATAAAAGAAATACACAAAATTGTTTTGCTTTTTTTTTTTTTTTTTTGGTTACAAAAGATTGTTTTGTTTCTGAAAATTTTAAAAACGAATTAAAAAGTATCTGATTAAAAAAAGTCTGAATTTTGCACCAGAGCAAAGAACCAAAGATTAAATTTATATGTACCTTTTGTGAATCAAAAATCAATTTATGCACAGGGGACGATTCAATTTTTTGGGGGGAGGTGAAAAAATGACTAGCTAACCCCCTTTTAATATTCTCTGATTTCTTATTAGTCTGTGGAGACTCTTTTACTAAAGAAGCCATTCTAACAACAACCCAGATCACATGTGTTTATTGGAAGAAAACATCCAAAAATGTTTGAATAATTTTATTTTACTAAGCAGTTATTGCTGGGATGATATTAAAATATTGCTAATATTAACATATCACCTAGTACCCTGAATCAACATTTCTGGTGATGTTAAATATATGGAAGTACAATACTATGGCAGAAAAGATATATCTAGCATGGATTTATCTATCAATTTGAGCAAAAAAATAAAAATAAATAATACTAGTTTTTTTTACCAATGATGAGAAATGCAGTTCCTAAGAAGAGTGTTTAGGTTTTTTTTTTTATAAGAGACAGATCTCAGGTCTGCTCAAGAGCCAGCAATGTGTTAAGTGCTACTGGCAGGCTGTGTATTGGCAGACATGAAAGGCTAGTGACAGTTGTGTATACAATGCCCCACACATCTCACACTTGTACTGACTTCTAGTGCCCCATTTATGTGTCAGAGCACAGCTGTGATCATCATAATGTAACACTTTGCTTGATGTGCTTCTAATTACCCAACCCAGCAACTAAAACAACACCAAGGTGCTGCTGACATCCAAATGTGTTTATGTACCTAAAAAGACAACATTTTACTCCAGCATTAATCGATCTGAATAGAAAGTGCATTCACTAGACAAACGGTTTTTACACTTCATTTAAAAAAAAATTGAAATTTGTCCATTATCTGGCTTAACTGAGCATAGACTTGTCTCCTGCAAATACTGTACATTGTCATCCTAATACAAAATCAGTAATAATTGTGTATAATAATAATAATAATAATACAGAGGTTCAACTCCAATTAACGGACACTAAAGGTATTTCAATTATTTTCTGCTGAAAAAGGTAAAAATCTGGATCTACAAAGGTAATGTGGATGACCTGTATAGCCTTCAACCTCCGACATATAATTATTTTTATCAAATCTTTTATAGTCGGTGTTTTATAACATCAATTTAACTTTGTCTGACTCTATTTCATCCCTTCCAGAGAAATTTTCAAAGAAAAGGTACAAGTGAAATAGCATCACTCATCAGTCCAGGGTACAGCCATAGGGAGATGTATGGGATCAGAGCTGTTGGCCATAGCAACCATTCTCTAAGGAATTAAATGAGGAAAGTAATAGATGTCCATGGGGGACAGCTCAGTCCTGATGAGCAGAAATAAATCATGATCAATGTCCTGTATTTAGATTGCTCAGCCATAAGATCTCTAATTGTCGGTCTGCCAGTGATCACACTCACCTCTGTGGCTTGTTGTCTCCTGAGAGCCACCTGGGCTGCCATGACTCTCTGCCTCTCCACCACCAGCAGGCAGTTGGCACACTGACAGTCCCTCCAGCGACAGAAGCGCTTGTGGCCCTTCAGACAGGACACCACCCCATGATTCCTGCACCTGGCACACTTGGGGGTCCTGCTCAGCTTCCTCTGCTCTCCGCCCTTCTCTGCACACTTCTGCTCGCTCCTGTTATGGCCATCGCCATGCTGCTCCTCTTCATCCTCATCCTCTTCTTCTGGCTCCAGAGTCGTGCGAGGCTCAGGCTGTCCGTCCAGCTCCAGGCTCTCCACGTCTATCTCCGAGTCCCCGGCCAGGGAGGAAGAGTACGAGCACGACGAGGGGGAAGAGGACGGGCCAGCCACAGCCACAGCCTGGACCTCATACATCGCCGTCTTCTGCTCTCTCCAGGCCGTCTTCTCCCTGCGAGACACAATACACCGGACATCGCTTAGTCTATGGCCGCCAGCCATTGGCTGCACGAAGAGAGAGAGAGGGAGAGAGAGAGAGAGAGAGAATCGGACTATTCAGTATATATACATACATGTATGTATATATATATAGAGAGAGAGAGAGTAGATAGTTAATCAGACTATATAGTATATCCAGGGGCGGACTGACAGCTCATGGGGCCCAAGGCAATAGGGGATCATGGGGCCCCTGTGTCCTTGCCCAAACTCAAAAAAGCCTATTAAAAAGGTACCAGGGGCATCTCATAGGGCCCCCTACTGACCCCGGGCCATCGGGCAGTGCCCGAGTTTCCAAATGGTCAGTCCACCCCTGAGTATATCTATATATAAAGAAAAAATCAGATAGGTAGGTAGATAATCAGACTATACAGGAGAGGAAGAGAGAGAGTTAATCAGACTGTAGAGTATATCTATATATATATAGAGAGAGAGAAGATAGTTAATCAGACTATACAGTATATCTATATATAGCGAGAGAAAGCAGACAGATAGATGGATAGATAGATAGATAGATAGATAGATAGATAGATAGATAGATAGATAGATAGATAGATAGATAGACTATACAGAGAGAGAGAGAGAGAGAGAGAGAGAAGATAATCAATCCGACTATACAGTATATCTGTATATACAGAGAGAGAAAGCAGATAGATAATCAGACTATACAGTGCATATATATATATAGAGAGAGAGAGAGCAGAGAGTTGATCAGACTATACAGTATATACATACCCACATGTATATACATAGAGAGTCAGAGACTGAGAAGATAAAGTAATAATATGATAGATGATAGATAGATAGATAGATAGATAGATAGATAGATAGATAGATAATCAGATGGATAGAAAATCAGACTATTCAGAAGAGAGAGAGAGCAGAGAGATAATCAGTCTATACGGTATATATACATACATGTATGTATATATATGTATAGAGAGAGTAGATAGTTAATCAGACTATACAGTATATCTCTCTCTCTATATAGAGAGAGAAAGTAGATAGATAGATAGATAGATAGATAGATAGATAGATAGATAGATAGATAGATAATCAGACTATACAGTATATATACATACATGCATATATAGAGACAGAAGAGAGACTGAGAAGATAAAGTAATACAATGATACATAGATGATAGATAGATAGATAGATAGATAGATAGATAGATAGATAGATAGATAGATAGATAGATCTTTGAACTGACAACATATTTGCTCCTGATCATGTTTCTACTATCTAGCACAGAGCATTATCTGTATGGAGTCTGCATGTTCTCCCTGTGTTTGCAGGTGGTATATGAATTGACTCCTGTCTAAATACACCCTAGGAAGTGTGAGGTAGGTAGGGACATTAGAGTGTAAGCTCCTTGAGGGCAGAGACTGATGTGAATGTATAGTATGTAAAGTGTGTGTAAATTGTCAGTGCTATACAAATGGCTTGCTCTGTGGCGACAATAGATAAGAATGACTTTTTCTTGTTTGGATATATTCTCCTGCTTTACGACTTCTGAGTGCCTCCACAACTGCTTATCTGTTGATGTCATTCTGCTGCATTACACCTGGGCTCTGTGCAGTGACTATGTACTACATATACATATATATAGAGAGAGAGGGAGAGATGGATATATATATATATATATATATATATATATATATATATATATATATATATATATATATATATATAGACACACTTCGCCTTAGACTGGAAGCTATAATCTGCAGTCTGACAGCGCTTTATGAGACAGGAGGTGTCAGGAAACCAAGCTACTAGTGGCACCTGCACACAGTAATACCTGTCTTCCTCTACTAATCTCCTCTTTATCTAAGACAGAGGGAATGCTGGCCACAAACATGGGAGAGCTCAGCTGACTGCAGAAACAACCAATTTATAATACCGCAATCTTTACTATCCTGCACTGCTTCCTACCAGGAATGTATTTACAGTACAAAGACCTGTCATCACAGCTCTGTGAAATTCTGTATACATTTACATTGTCTGCAGGGGTAACACATTATATAAGCGCCAGTTAGACTCTATATATGTTTATATATATATATATATATATATATATATATATATATACATACAGGATATATATATATATATCCTGTATATGTAGATACATATATAAAATGATAGCTAGATATATCAAATGAGTTACTTACCGAATTCCTATAGGAGCATCCAAATTGGGTGAGCTCAGACCAATCACACAATCCCTGTAATACACAATCCACTGCACTGTGTAGATGATCAGGACAGGACCTTTCAGATTCCTTTATCCAGAGATGAACAGTGAGTACATTCAGTGACACATGACAGTGACATAGAGAGGAGCCCTGCTTCCCTGCTGCCTCAATGCTAGCTGGCTGCTAGATATCCTATGGCAGCTCTGCAGGCTTTAATAGCTAGTGGGGCACACAGTTCACTCAGTCCTCACACAGAATCTCAAACCGAGTTTTGACCAGCCTCTAAACCGATTGGTTCGTAAGGCTCCCTGACCAAGCTGTGATTGGTTAGTGTTTCCAGAGACTGCCCTACCCACTTCACGCCTTGCGCTGTTTACAATGCAGGAGAAATGTCAGCGCCTATGAATGTGGAGGAGATTTCTCCCAGGGTCCTCTCACTATAATCTCCCTGCATCATCAACACAAAGACACATAGCAATGCATCAGCCACATTACACTTGTATAGTAAACATTTCAGCAATCCATAGACTAAAAAAAAAAAAAAAAAAAAAAAAAACACACAAAACAATTCTAAGGTTAATCTTGCTCAAATAAACAACATTAGAAACTTAACGAAACAAAAGAAAGTTGTTTGGGATGTTTTACTCAACCTGTCGTTGTCGTTGTGTTTACTTCGACTTGAATAGATTGCTTGGTAAATATTCCTTAAACGTGAAAAACAGAGGAACATAAATGTTTTACACTTTTGCTTATCAAAGATTCAGAATTACTGGAAAATGTTGATTGCATATATATATATATATATATATATATATATATATATTCATATATATATATATATATATATATATATATATGTATGTATATAGTATGTATGTAGAAAATGTATATTAAAACATTCATATTGATGTATATTATATATATATATATATATATATATATATATATATATATATATATATAAAACGAATTAAATCAATTAAATCTCCCTCTCTCTCTCTGTGTGTGTGCAAATTTTATTTATCTATATATATATATATATATATAAAAAAAATATATATATATATATTATATATAACATGAAATCTATATATAAGCAAATATTACATATAAATATATATATAAGCATTAAAACCTATATGTTGAAAGCTCAGTACTGCTTATAAAAATACACCTAACAGTGTACAAAGCAAGCTAAGTTAAAATGATCAAACCACTTACATAGGTCCGATTAGCAGAGCTTTTACACAAGGAATACAGATCCCTATTTAAGACATGCAACTGCATTTTTTTTCAAATCTCATTGAATTCAGCTGAAAATAAGTGTCACTTAAAATAAAGTATTCTTATCCTGTAGTGTTATCTTTGTGACTGAAGTCCAAATGCAGTACTGTATACAGGGAAATTGGAGTGATTTCAGGGCTGTGATCACATCAAACCAACCAGGGTGTTCCTACATCACAGTCCTGACTTTAAATGGGTTTATACATATCTGTATTGTAAATGGTCTTCTTTGCTTCCACGGTACACACTTTTGAATATCAGGATAATTTTGGTTCTGTGATACAACTCAGAGAAGGGAATTTACTAAGACTGGGACGGCCATAATATGGAGCAGCTGTGGATGGCACCCAATCAGCTTCCATCTTTCATTGTCCAAACTTAACTGAACAAGCTGAAGCTAGAAGCTGATTGGGTGCTACGCTCCATATTCTGTTGACTCCAGTTTTATTAGTAAAGTTTGGACCTGCTGTAGATTCCTGTACCAATGACAGCTGAAGATGCTGCACTTTCCTTTTGAATACACCGCTCTGATTTTTTTTTTTTTGTTACATTGTTATACATGCACTTGAATTTAATCTCAATAAATGCTACATGCAGCCATTTTCCCACGCTTACATTTGGTTTCCTTAACTGCGATGTAATCGTTACACAAATGTGAACTAAACCTATCCTACGAAAATATAAATGTATAATAAATATTTCGATCACGTTTTCATGAACAAATAACAGGACCCAATTCATGAAAATGTCTGCAGCCATGTTACATATTTACAGATATTTTATTAAAACATCAATCTGATCTTTGCAGAAAACATTCAAATATAAATATAAAAAAATTCCGGTGCGGGGGACATTTGAAAACATAACTATATGGTCTTTCACATAGAGATTGTAAAGGGATACTGGGAGATCGATATATTTATATATAAACACATAAATAAGATCTGCATTCTCTAAACTGGAATAACTTAAGATAATCGTTATCTGAGAGAGAGAAAAACATTTCAACCCACAATCTAGCTTTGTGTACAGTAAACTGTCTATAACTGCTGCTTGTACTCCTGAGCAGAGCAGAGCCAGCTGGAACTCAGTCACCGGTTTGATTATAGCACACGCCTATACCATGGCGATGCCAGCAGTTCTAGACGCTTGGCACCCTGAGACCTCCTGTGTTTGTGAGGACCCTCCTGAGTGTAGAAAGGGTCATTTCACTCTATAAGCACACACACAGTTTATTTCTAATTTCTACCAGAGAGCATATTTTGGGTATATTTTTATATATATATATATATATATATATATATATATATATATATATATATATGTATATATCAGTAAAACAAAAAAAAGAAACCTATCTTTTTCTTTGCGATCCAGGTTGTTGTTTCATTGCATAGATGCATAGATGTGCATGTTCACACATTGTAGTCTGTGCAC